CACACACACACACACACACACACACACGACGTGTTACTCTGCGCTGCACAAAACTCCGCATTTGAACAGTCATTAGCAAATACTTAAACTAATAACAAAACATACATCTATTTTTTTTTTCTTCTTTTTTAGCCCGGTCTGGATCAGCCTTCTCTTTTAGATAGAAATCCTTTTGTGGGAGACTTTGAGCTTTGTAACTCTGCAGATCTGATACATGCACAAACAGCTACATAACACACTAAAGAAAAGGAAAACAAGAAATCGCATCATATGACCCCTTTAAGGGTTTCAAAGTAATATGTAAGTATTTCTATATTAAAATTAATTAAATAGTCTTAAATTTGAATCCACCGTGATTTAACTTGAATGTAAACATTTTATCATTTCAATTTGCACTTAATTTTGTAGTACACTAAGTCACATTTCCAAATATTTAGGACCCACCTTCTTTCAGTTATACACTACTACCAATCAAATGTTTTACAGCATTGTGCAGTTTTAACATCCTGTTTGTTTTTATGCTTTAGATGCCTTACAACAAGAAGTGAAAGCTGAGAAAAAGGAGGCCTCAGAGATTATCTTTGCTGTGACAGTGCAAAAATGGCTCCGCTGTGGTGCTGAACGGCTTGTGGGCATTGCCTTGTGGTGGAAAGCCCTGAGTTCATCAGACTATCCGTTTAATGAGGAGCAAGGACGTCTTTTTTAAATCAGAAAAGTAGCTTCGATCCATGAAAAGCTTCAAGTCCTGAACAGCAAACTGGTAATGTTTCAGTCTGTGGTACTTTAGTGCTTCTGCCTTTGATGGTGAGTTTTCATTTGTATTTACTTCCATTTTGCAGATGCAGGTTGCATTTGCAATATGTTGTAAGTTTTACAGGCTCTTCTCCTGGCATTTGCTTTATAAATTCAGAATTAACTGTTCCATGTATTTGTTTAAGTCACTTTGTCATTCATTTTATCATATTCTGTACGTACATTGTATTTTAAGCTCTGTCCCCCAGTTTCACAAGGCTAGTCCCAGACTAAAATGCATGTTTGAGCTGTCTTAATTGAAAATAACTTGCTCCGACAGATCTTAAAATGCCATTGCCATTGCTTTGTCTCAAGATGCACACCAGTAATGTTTTTTTTTGGGGGGGGGGCATTTTTATAAAAGCCGTTTAAATATCTTAATTTAACTAAGGCCTAGTCCTGGCTTAAGCTAAGCCCTGTCTGTGAATCCGGGCATATGTTTTGAAGTCACCACAAAGTGTTTTTTTTTTTTTACCTGAATGTAATGTTATTTTCCTGTTCAAATAGTGTGGGGCAAAAATAAATATATTTGCATGTAAACTGAAGGATGTTGTTGACTTTTTGATTCAAAACCATATTAATTGCAGTCCTGCATGTTCTCTGATTAAAAGGAGTAAAAAGCAGGATTGATTTGATAATGTTACTATGTTGATTCAATGTTAAATAAGTGATTTGATTTAATTTAAGTTGAAGAAATGTTGATTTTATGACCATCTTGATCTATTTTTCATCATTGAAATAACATTATTTCAGGGTGCAAAGCTGACGAAAAATTTGATTGATGCATTAACATTGATTCAATGTTGATTCAGTGTTGGTCTGCGATCTGGGGCTGCTCATTGAAATTGCTCGGTCGGTCCCGAATTATTTTATATTTGCCTGTTAAATTTTTATTTTGAGTGAATTTGAGTCGCGTGACATGTCAACGGAGAACAAAAACTGGAATGTGAACACAGGGTCAGATGTGATCTGCGAGGTCCTTCAAACATATGGGCAAAATCATGTAAGAAAATCGCTATCTGTATTACCTTTCAAAAGTATAACGTTACCAGAGTTTATAAATGGGTAAAGGATAAATGTGTGCGCTTGTGTGTGTGTGTGTGTGTGTGTGTGAGTGTGTGTGTGAGTGTGTGTGTGTGTGTGTGTGTGTGTGTGTGTGTGTGTGTGTGTGTGTGTGTGAGTGAGAGTGTGAGTGTGTGTGTGTGAGTGTGTGTGTGTGAGTGTGTGCGTGTGCGTGTGTCTGTGAGAGTGTGAGTGTGAGTGTGTGTGTGTGAGTGTGTGTGTGTGTGTGTGTGTCTGTGTCTGTGTGTGTGTGAGTGTGAGCGTGTGCGTGTGCGTGTGTGTGTGCATGTTTATGTGTTTTATGAGGACACAAATTTGTATAATAACATGGGTATGACATAGGTATTACAACGAGAATGTGATTTATGAGGACATTTTCAGTGTCCCCGTAATTCAAAAGGCTTATAAATAATTCAGAATGATCTTTTTTGAAAATCTAAAAATGCAGAAAGTTTCCTGTGAGGGGTAGGTTTAGGGGTAGGGTTGGTGTAGGACAATAGAATATACGGTCTGTACAGTAGAAAAACCATTACGCCTATGGAGAGTCCCCACAAGGATAGCAAACCAGACATGTGTGTGTGTGTGTGTGTGTGTGTGTGTGTGTGTTTCTATAGCTTTATCACAGATGCTAAAGTTAGATGTTCATCTAATTTTGTGTTGCTTGTAAGTTATGCGTTAATGTCTGTCTTTTAGAGATTTTTCACATTTTTCTGATGTGAATGCCATGCATTAAGTGTGTTACATTTTTAATCGTATAATAGTCTTAAAGATAACATACTCTGTTCGTTTTTTCTGAATATCATATAATCGCAAATGTCGGTACAATTTAAATGAATTAAGATAGTTTAAAGCAGTGGTTCTCAAAGTGTGGTACGAGTAGCACTAGTGGTACACAGAGGAATCACTAAATTAAATATAAATTAATGTTAATACATTTGAATTTAATCTTTATTTGAGTAAAGTTTTTTTAACATTTAAGTACAGTACAGTTTTTATTTAACTTTTGGTACAACACATTTTAATTTAATCATTATTTAAGTTTTTTTATTTACCTGTATGTAAGCACAGTGCAGTGTTAATGTTCAAACTGTGTATGTACAATGTTAAAGTGGCTGACAACAATAAATATTCTTATTAGGAATAAAACTGCCTCGTTTTGAACTGTGCAGAGCTGTAAGCACAGTGCAGTGTTAATTTTCAAACTGTGTATTTACAATGTTAAAGTGGCTGACAACAATAAATATTCTTATTAGAAATAAAACTACCTCGTTTTTTTAACTGTGCAGAGCTTTAGCTGAATAGTTAGGCCTACTACGCTGCTGAAATTTAATGTTGGTCATTATGGTGGTACTTGGAGAGCCAAATATTTTGTAAAGTGGTACTTAGTATTAAAAGTTTGAGAAGCACAGTTTTAGAGTACCACGAGGGCCCCTTAGAACGGGTTTTTAAAATCCATGTTATGGTAAGTGTGCACATGAAGTCTTTGTACACTTTCTAAAATCCACACTGTGGTAAGTTCGCACGCTAGTACTCTGTGTTCTTTTCTAGAATCCTGTACGGTAAGAGCTACGCGCGGCAGCCTCATGCTCTTTCTTGAGAGGTTTAAAACCCCGGTTCTGCCTTGGGCACCACTCCTCCTATGTATCCTCTGGATACCTACGTTAACAGGGTGTTGCTACTAGGGGTCTGTTGAGACAGTTCCTTCAGCACATACAAAGAGAAACGTGCGGTAGCCCCTGTGTGACAGGCCAAGACTAGTATGATTCTAGGCTCTTGGTCGTATTCCCTTAAAGGAATCTATTCCAGATACTCTACAGGAGCACGAATGAGGAAGCAGCTTTTTTTTTTTTACTCATGTGACTCAAACACAGAAGCAGGAAACAGGAAACACGCATGTTCAGGAAAAGAGAAGCTGAAGTGAAGTTGAGCTGTTGTGTGTTTGTGTCTCTGTATTTAAGCAGTAAAATGTCAGAAGACAGATGTTCTCAGGATGAGTTCTTGTGTGCAGTGTGTCTGGATCTCCTGAAGGATCCAGTGGCCATTCCCTGTGGACACAGTTAGGTACGCAGGAGCTAACCCATTAAGGGCCTTATAGGTAAGTAATAATATTTTGTAACTGATACAGAACTTAATAGCTAGCCAGTGCAGAGACCGTAAACTTTAAAGACCTGCCATGCACTGCATTACACCATGTGTGTGTGTGTGTGTGTGTGAGAGAGAGAGAGAGAGAGACTCTACCAGAAACATGAGAAGCTCCTCGAGGTTTTCTGTCGCACTGACCAGAAATGTATATGTATGCTGTGTACGATGGATGACCATAAAAACCATGACACTGTATCAGCTGCAGACCAGAGGACAGAGAAGCAGGTATTTAAAACTAGACACTGACGAAATATTGCTGACACTCGTTTCATAAGTGTTTATATCGGCCTTCTGGAGTTTGAACCTATAGCCATTAGTTAACAGCTCCACTTTTACTGAATTCATCTGTTCACATGAAGATTTAGTGCCAGTAGTTTTCTGTGATATTCACTATCATCTGTTTGTACTGCAGAAGCAGCTGAAGGAGACGCAGAAGCCGTTCCAGCAGAGAATCCAGCAGAGAGAGAAAGAGTATATGTGTGCTGTGTACGATGGATGACCATAAAAACCATGACACTGTATCAGCTGCAGACCAGAGGACAGAGAAGCAGGTATTTAAAACTAGACACTGACGAAATATTGCTGACACTCGTTTCATAAGTGTTTATATCGGCACACATATTAACTGCAGCAGAAATGAACAGCAGCTGCAAGAAGAGTTTCACTGTTTGCTGAAAATGAACCGTAAACCTTTATCAACACAATCTTTCATAAAATGTGCTTTGATTACACTATTCACCTGTTCTTTGACATATAATACGTATAATATATACTTTCATCAGTCAAAATGTAGAAACACTGTCAGTGTGAAGCTCTACGTCTGTGTCAGTTTCACTTTTATAATACTTACACTTGTAGTTATTCATGTATGATGATTGTAACTGATCATGACTTCTGGAGTTTGAACCTATAGCCATTAGTTAACAGCTCCACTTTTACTGAATTCATCTGTTCACATGAAGATTTAGTGCCAGTAGTTTTCTGTGATGTTCACTATCATCCGTTTGTCCTGCAGAAGCAGCTGAAGAAGACGCAGAAGACGTTCCAGCAGAGAATCCAGCAGAGAGAGAAAGATCTTCAGCAGCTGAGAGAGGCTGTGGAGTCTCATAAGGTGAGTCTGGAGAAGAAGAGAAGTTTGTCTCAGTCTCAGTTCAGACTCACTGAAGCCTGAATCACTGTGTGTCCTAACAGCGCTCTGCACAGACAGCAGTGGAGGACAGTGAGAGGATCTTTACTGAGCTCATACGCTCCATTGAGAGAAGCCGCTCTGAGCTGATACGGCTGATCAGAGATCAGGAAAAGACTGCAGTGAGTCGAGCTGAAGGACGACTGGAGCGACTGGAGCAGGAGATCAATGATCTGAGGAGGAGAGACGCTGAGCTGGAGCAGCTTTCACACACACAGGATCACATCCAGTTCCTGCAGGTAACAGAGATCTAGAAGAACAGGATCATAGTGGACTTGAGCAGATCCTGCTGTGACAGAGACTCACAGAGAAACAGTTCATGAGTGTCTTATTATATAATCATCAGTCAGACTCTCATCTGATCATCTTCTTCTGAAAGAGACGCCGCTTACAAATGGCTTTCAGCTCTGGAAATCTCTTAGCAATCATTTCTCTCAGCTCTTTCTTCTGGAAGATATATTTAGCTGTCAAACACCACTAGCGCCACCAACAGTTCAAAACTTCACTAACATTTCAAATTTTTATCATATTTTTCCTTCTGATTTATTACGTCAGGGTGAAATCAGTGAACTCGATAGTACAGATTCTGAGTAGCATTCATTAAAATTGGATCAGGTGATCCTCAAACATGATGAAACCCGTTTTATTGGCTTGTAACACATTCATGAATTTGACCATGAAGACCCCAAACATGAAGTCAGCCTGTATATTAGCAATGCTTCAGCGTATTGAAACCAAACCAAACCTGAGCGTGTCTTGAGGGGCAGTGGTGGGAAGAGTACTAAAAAAATGTAGTTATGTAAAAGTATTGCTAATTAAGGAATAATTTACTTGAGTACAAGTAAAAGTACTGAAAAATAATATACTTGAGTCAAGAGTAAATAAGTAGTTTGCTGAAAAACTACTCAAGTTACTATTATTTTTGTATTTTTACCCAAAATGAGGCGATGTGAGCATCATGGAGTATTAAACACTCTCATGCAATCTCTGTTTCATAAGTGAGACTCATGGACCCAATATATTACATAGATCCAATATATTGTTGCACATGTGTTTTCTTTCACAACTGTTTACGTTCACTTACATAACCGACTGTGTTTACGAGGATATTTTGACATATTTTTGTGTGCATTTGTCCTTTCAAATGCAAAAAGACATGGAAGAGGACTCAGTTCAGTATCACACACTATACAGTATGAGAGGCGGCTTTTTGCGTGCACGTCTTGGAAGTCGTAAAATGTGCACAAAGGAATCGAAATTGTAATTTTTATAACAAGTATCCGATTGCAGAATTGGAATCGATTTTTGATTCCAAAGCCTAGCTATGGGTTAATATGTTAAATTAAGAGTATTTGAAATCAAAAATCGATTCCAATTCTGCAATCGGATACTTGTTATAAAAATTACAATTTCGATTCCTTTGTGCACATTTTAATACGACTTTAACTTGTGTTTCTCTTTCCAGCTCCTTTTCCTCACTTGAGAGTTCTCTGACTATTGAGGCTCTTGACAATGCATCTGCGGTAACTAACATCTGGAACATGCACTATGTTGTATGTGTATCGCAGAAGTCTCAGACGGAATCTTTGAATCCTGGGGGGTAAGTCATCCAGTGCCTTTGTTCCCAGAAGGGCCAACAGTGGCTTGTGATCTGTCTCTATAGTAAATTGGAGGCCAATCCGGTACGAGCTGAGTCTTTCACAAGCCCACGTTACTGCCAACGCCTCTTTCTCCACCTGGGCATATCTCTGTTCTGTCTCAGACAGAGTTCGTGAAATAAAAGCCACAGGATGCCATTCCTTGTCATTCTGCATCTGGGTAAGGGCTGCTCCTAATCCAAAAGAGGATGCGTCAGTGGACACTTTTGTTTTTGCGTCTGGCTTGTATTGTGCCAATACTTGGGTTGATGACAAGTCAGATTTGATCTTTTCAAAAGCTGCTTGCTGCACACTGCCCCAAATACAATCGTCCTGCTTGGCTAATAGATCACGTAGTGGTTTTGTATCATCGGTGAAATGGGGTATGAACTTACTCATGTATGTGGCCATGCCCAGGAAACGTCTAACATCTGCCACATTTTGAGGTGTAGTCATCTCCACAATTGCCCTCACCTTTTCTGGATCTGGTGCAATTCCCTCAGAACTCACTTTGTGGCCTACAAACAAAACTTCAGACTGTGCAAAGGAACACTTGTCATTTAGAGTTAGGTTTGCTTTTTGTATTCTGGAAAGGACCTCAGTCAGTCGCTCCTCATGTTGGGCTTTATCTTTACCACATACTAACACGTCGTCGGCATGGCATATTACTCCTTTTATTCCCTCTAAGAGCTGAGACATACGTCTCTGGAAGTGTTCTGGACCAGAGTTGATGCCGAAAGGTAGGACATTAAAGCAGAATCAACCAAATGGTGTGATGAATGTTTTGATTTCTCTGCACTCTTGTGCCAGTGGTATCTGCCAAAAGCCAGATCGTGCGTCCAGAAGGTAATATATGCCGCTCTCTGCATACTGCCTCATTTAGCTTGGTTAAATCGACACACATCCTGATTTTTCCTCATCCTTAGCTGGACATTCCTTCCAACTGTGAGAAGGGGTTCTGCCACATTTTGAACATTTACTCGTGCTGGATGCATTCTCTGTCTGTTTTATTGCGTATCCTGCTTGTTGTTTACTGTTATATGCTGCCTGTTTTCTTTTTACTGGTCCTGAAAGTGCATCTACTTCACTTTTCTCATCCGTCTGTGGCGAGCTGCCCCACATAATAGCTTGCTGCCGTTTAACTGTCTCGTTCTGTTTCACTTGACTGATAGCTCTGCTCAACGTCAAATCAGAGTCCAGCTGGAGTTTTTCTGAAAGTGCCATGTCTCGTATCCCCACAACAATGCGATCACGTATGAATCCGTCTTTCAAAACTCCAAAATTACAGTGTTCTGCCAGGATATGGACCGCCGTTATAAAGCTATCAGCTGACTCGCCGGGTTCTTGTTTACGCATATTAAACTTGGCTCTCCAGAAAATAACGTTACGCTTCCCCACAAAATGATCATTGAAACATTTTTCCACTGCCGCGTAGTTGAGTTTTTCATCCGCATTTAAAGTGGAAGCATTAAAAATATCCTCCGCTTCATCACCCATGAAGTCAATTAGAGTATTGACCTGGAATTCGTCATCTCTCTTGTTCAATCCCGACGCGACACGGTATCTTTGGAAGCATCTGATCCATTTTGGCCACTCTTTGCCATCAGCACAGTCAAATTTGTCAGGAGTGCTGACAGGAAAACTCTCCGAGTGTGTGCGCTTTGTTCTCAGACATCATGTAAACAATACAAAGTTCATCGCCATTCAGTAAACCGTCTTCGGGCATCAGGAGAGCATCAAATGTGTTTGTCCAGTGTCCTTATTTTGTTTCTTTATCAAGACTTCTGACACCATGTAGTAATAAATCCACAACACACACGGCTAGCACGATGGATTCTGTTTACCGATCTTTACGCATGCGTCACAACCACAGGTCCTGTTTTGGGACATCTACTACAACAGGCCACTCATAACTGCTGTTTCTGTCTGTTTTTTCTTGACAAGAAGTGCATTTATTCAGTCGCAGAGCGTCTTTATGATCACATCAATCTGGAGACGTTTCAGACGGAAACCGGCGCGTGCTGTAGCCTGTATCAATTCATATCAAAGCGCAAAATAAACTACGTGCATGCAATGTCGTGGTCGGTTAAGGCATGAAGTTACCAAAAAGGCGATTAAAGCTGCCTTAAAACTGTGCGTGCATGTAATATGTTATATATGAGTTCATTTAAGAACATGTCTCTGAAATGGTTTTCAAAACTGTCCTGGAGCAACCCAGCACTGTCTCCCTCATCTAACACACCCGATTCAACTCATTAATAGAGACTGAAATGAGTCAGAAAAGGTGATGAGAGTTGAGAGAAAATACGATACGTGTCAGATCCACGTGTTCAGCAACGGCAGCTCTTAAAGAAATAGCAGCCAAAAACAACCTAATAACCAGCTGCTGTGATGTCTGTTCATCAAGAATAAAAGAAAAAAGAAGAAATCAATAACTTTTATATAGCTGTAAGTATTTATCTGTATTTAGTTTAGAATTTAGTGTTTGATAACTTTATTCAATTTCTGTATATTTCTGCTGAGGGGCACAGGTAGCTAAATATAACATTTATTATAATGGGTTTATGTGAAGATTGTTTTAAGTTCACTTAAATTAGAAGTTATTTTTAAAGTCTAATAAATGTTAAAATTGATAGCTCTTAATTATAATGTAATGTTTAATGGCTATAGTCAATGGTTAAATATTAGGGGAATTTTTTTTATAGGGAAATCAGTATTACTGGCCTTCAGTAATAAAAAAGATGCCATTAAACAAATATTAAAAATGTTGTTTGTACATTAATTTGAAGATTGAATGTGAAATTATTGCAATATAAAAGTATATTTAAAAACTTTAATGTTAGGTGGGATTAATCGCAATTCATTTCAGAAAAAAATGTGCGATTAATTCGTTTTTTTTTTTTTTTTATCGATTGACAGCACTAATATATATATATATAAACATTTCTGTCCCCCTCACTTCTGAAATGATGGCTACGCCCCTGGACACTTACATTGTTCTTGCTCCGTCCATGCAATAACTGCGTCCTTCTATCAACCGAGTTTTCTCTTTACTTAATCTGCTGAGTGCTCTGGTAATATCAATGGTATAACCCATTTCAGCAGCTGTCAAAATTACAATTTAAAATCAGAGCATAGCTCATACATTCACTAAAATATTGAAACGTTAATGATACCGATTAAAAACACCAGCGCCAGTGATTGACTGTCAAAGCAAAGCGTGGTTTGAACGCCCCGCCCACAGCTGAACTGGAAGTTTTGAATGGTTTTGCATCCGAGTCAGACCTGTCTGTTATTGGCTGAAGCGCAGTGCCTGTCAAACGCCAGCTCACCGTTTCTCCATCGGCACCTTTGACTATTTTGTACTTTGTACTTTTGCCGAAAAATAAATTTAGCGAAGTTGAATACTTTATTTTTATTCAACTCAAGTAAAAGTAAAAGTACGACAATTTAATTATACTCAAGAAAGTAGAAAAAAATGAAAAAAATTACTCAAGTACAGTAAAGAACGTATCTGTAATTAGTTACTTTACACCTCTGCTTAAGGGTCCTTGTGAAATTTCAGTGTCTCTAACCGCTCTAAAGTTATAAATAATGGTCAATCTAATCGTAGCCTTTGAGCTGCTTTTCCTGAGCAAATCTACTCAACCCTACAATGAGACTCCATTGATGTGTTTGAGCTGTTAGATGGACATTTATGTTCTTAGCAGATGTTTTATCATCCAAACTATTTCCTAGAAAGTTCACATAGAGTGTAAGTGGCAAATACTAGAATCTGTAGCTCTAATGTGATATAATGAATATGAGAAGAATGAAGCTGATGCTGTGAAAGTGCTGGATTGAGGTGAGTTACTAAAGATCAGTCAAGTCAACAAAAGCCGCACAAATCTGATGTTGGTGCAGGTTATTGGGTGAAGTGTGGAGCTGATGAGTTTTGATTTCTGTTTTCTGTAGAGTTTCCAGTCTCTCTCAGCACCTCCTGAATCTACAGACGTAAATGACGATCCCTTCATTTCTCTCGTCTCTTTTGATGGTCTGAGAGAATCTGTCCGTCAGCTGAGAGACAAACTGGAGGATTTCTGCAAAGAGGAGCTCAAGAAGATCTCAGACAGAGGTAAAGTCCTGGAGATTCATCTGCTCTCAGAAACCAGTCCATCATCATCTCATATCATGGAGAACATCGTATTAGAAATGTCTTAGGAATGGATGCAGGATCATGAGAATCACACTGTTCATGTCTGTTGATTTCCACAGTCACATTCACCAACATTGTTCCCAGAACCAGGAACGACTTCCTACAATGTAAGTCAGTAAGAAAACAAGCAGAAAAACTCTCTGAGTGTGTTCATGTTCCTCCTGTAGAAGGTGAAAGAAGAGTTTTATAAATAATGTAAATGATAGGGCTGCCCTCGACTAAATATTTTTCTGATCAACTAATAGTCATACATTTGAAGCGATTTGTCGACTAATCTCACATTTATATTAATAAACCATATAATTCATAATAATAAGCCTTTAATTGCCTATAGCCTATCAGCGCTCAAGCGCACACATAAAGCTTGCCACAGAGCAGCGCAGAAGTAATGATTATGAATGCTTCAGGAAAAAAACCAGCAAGAAGACTGCCTTAACATCATAATAATTAATTGATAAACTAGTGTTTTCTGTATTTTCGGCTGCATATATAGTGAATGTGTGATTGGTTACAGCTGTGTGCAATCAGTGCTGTGTGCTATCAGTGCAATGGATGATGGGATATGTAGTCCGGGATGACATGCAACAGTTTGTGTAGTGCGAGAGTCAATGTAATGGAAGGGTGACCTCTGGTGGTGAGTGAATTGAAGTTCATAGACCGGATTCGTGACACATGGAGTTTCGGTTAATATATATATATACAGTGTATATATATATATTTTTTTTTTAATGCGTTGAAGTTCACAGAGACCTAGACGGCAGAAAGTGCACCTGTTTGCTTTCATTATTTTACAAAAGCACAACGTTTTGTTGTTATTGTGAGTGCACACAAATGAAAGTAGAGCTTTTACAGATTCGAAAGATGTATTGCTCTTATCTGTATGACCAAAAATGATGGAGCATTTTAAGTTAAATGCAAATGATCGCACCGGTCATGCAGGGAGCGCTACTTTTCAGCTTCCACACTCCACACAAACACTGGAATAGCGCACATTTATAGGTTAACATTAGATTGAGTGGCCATGTAATGATGCTACTACTTACATGTTTCTGATGATAACCCATATTTGAGGTTGTTGATCGAAACAAATGTTTGCATGTCCTGACTAAAGGTGTGTGATATTGACAAAAAATAATATCTTGATATTTTCTGGGATTTTATCGATGATGATAATTAGGCGATATTTTGCTTGAGTGTGTTATTGGTTGAGCTTGAACGTGTGTATTTGTTACATGTAGCTAACATGTGATCTACATGTTAAAACCTATTAACACATGGAAACATTTTCCACATGTGCTCTTATGTTGCAACATGTGGTGACATGTTGTCTTCATGTGATCACATGTGAAAAATATATGGACACAAGTGATCACATGTGAAAAATATATGGACAAGTGATCACATGTGAAAATAATATATGGACACATGTGATCACATGTGGAAAACATGTGAAATGTATGTGGTTTTTCTGTAAGGGGGAATCAGTGTTACAAGTACCCCAGGCACATCGTTTTTCCATTTTTGACGCATAAACCCCATAAAATCGATACGAGTTTTGGATTTTCCAATGTTTCTCTATGGCTCTGAAACCTAAAGATGTCCGAGTTCCGCTCCCCGTGCAACTGATACTCGACTGCCATTGGCTAGTCTGCGTTCGAGGGGAGGGGCTTACCGATAGATCAATTGTGTCATCATTTATTCACCCTCATGGTCCAAAAGAGTATATGTAATAAATTTTATGAGACAAAATATTTCTTGCTGAAGCTACTTTTTGTAATGTCTGTTTGATGCTTTACACAACAATGACTTTAAATTATCTTTTGGGAGTAATTTCTTAGCCAAATTTGATGTGCGATTAATTTGCGATTAATTAGATTAATTAATCGCCACATCATGTAATTAATTAGATTAAAAATTCGCTTACCAGCCCTAATTTTTACCTTTTATGGGCATTTTTACTTTTATAAAGCCATTTTTGTCTAAAAGTGTGCATCAGCAATGAGTCAAATTCTTATGTTTAATCAGTGAATTAGAATAATATGACATTTGGGCTGTTGCCATGCAAATTAAATCAGTATCAACAAAATTAATCTTTGCAATGCAGAGGAAACAGAAGCTGCGTCTGAAGTGGCATTTAGATGTATTTACACACTGTTTAATGCAGGACATGAATGCATTTAACCTGCAGTTACAAATGCATAAATAATGTTTTGATATATTAAACATAAAACGTTGCATACTGATATTTGAAATTCTAATTTAAAAAAAAATGAAAAGATACTTTAAATGTGAAATTAAAACCGCCAGCAGGAGGCAGCAAGTTACTGTTAATAAGTGAGTCATTGAGATTAAACCGAATCATTTAAACGGTTGATTCATTCAGGAACTAAACACCGTCATGTTGCTCAGAGACGCAAAACAGAGTTGTGGCTTTATTTGGAATTATCTTTGTTGTTGAAATAGAGCAAGAACAGGCGATATGGTGTCTAAATTGTAAGTCTCTTAATATTAACTTCTTGTTTATTGAACTGTTGTAAAAAATCAATATCACATTTGTAATCATGCAAATTTTTGGAGAAGAAAAACGGCACTCTTTGTGTGATATTAACTATATGAAGTTTTCTGCCCCCATATCTTGAATTTTGTGGTCATTCTAAATGTTTTTAATAGACTGAATCATGCAGTGAATGAACACACTTCACGTGATGTGTGCATGCACTCTGTAGTGTTTTGCATGGTTTTTGTGATATACTCGTGTGGCGAGGGGGGCGTGGTTCAGCGAAGTCTGCAGCGGGAGAGAGGGGCGGGAGACGAGCGGTGAGTAAGTAGGTCAAGTGCAAATTGATGAACACCTGTGTCTGATTGCAGTAATTGGCCTGGAGAGACCGGTTAAAAGGCCAACTGGAGAATGTGGAGGCAGAGAGAGACGGAGACTCGTGGGCATCGCTCGGCCAGGGAGAGAAAACCTGAGGAACTGAATTTGTGCCATTGGCAGTGTGTGAACTACTTTTGTTTTGTTAGAGTTTTGAGTTATTAAATAAACATCCACGAGTCTCCAAACGCCAACCTTGTTCACTTCCTTCCTTCCTTACTACGAACCTTGTTACACTGGTGCCGAAACCCGGGAAGGAAGTGATAACGCCGCCGCCATCATGTCATCTCCGTCAAGTTCGCCGTTTGCGGAGGTCATCCACTCGCTCGCGGGACTCCATCAAGAGCACCATCAAGCGCTGCTGGACATGAGGGAGGATCAGAAACGGCGGTTCCGGGGCCCTCGTCCAGACGCAGCAAGAGGACCGCGAGCTGTTCCGGAGCTGGATGGACCGGGAGGTTCGGGCTGGAGGAAGCCCATCTGCCTTTATCCCAATTTTTGGCGTCTTCGTGAACGAATTTTCGAATCATGGTTTTCAAAGTGTGATTAAATCGTTCCACCAGTCCGTCTGTTTGTGGGTGATAGACGCTGGTGCAGACTGATTTAATGCCCGATAATTCGTACAGTTCGCGTATTGTACGTGACATAAACGCCGTGCCCTGGTCAGTGAGAATCTCTTTCGGGATCCCCACTCGGGATTGGACGTGACATAAACGCCGTGCCCTGGTCAGTGAGAATCTCTTTCGGGATCCCCACTCGGGAGATTATACGAAACAGAGCCTCCACCACACTTTTTGTGGAAATGTTGTGGAGCGCCACTGCCTCAGGGTATCGCGTTACATAATCCACAAGGACTAATGCAAAGCGATGCCCCTGCGCTGACCGTTCTAATTGCCCGATGAGGTCCATACCAATTCTCTCGAAGGGGACCTGCATGAGAGGAAGAGGGCGCAACGGCGCTTTTGGGGAGGCCGGGGGATTCACTAACTGACATTCACGACAAGCCGCGCACCACCTGCGCACATTCTCGTGAATGCCCGGCCAAAAGAATCGGGCCATTAAACGGTTCAAAGTCGCTGCCTGTCCTAAGCCGGCTGCAGCGGCTGTCCGTCGATGGAGCAGACTTGTTCAAACGCATTTTTCAGCGTCTCATTGCGAGACTGCTCCAGCGGAAAATCATCATGCTCCGTGAGGATTGGCCTCTCGGCAGCGCTTGGTTCCTCTGGTGCAGAATCGGTCAGTCGCGGTTCCGCCTCTCCCGTCTGCACGGCCGCCTCCCCTCCCCGCTTCTCTTTTCCCCAAGAGACATCCGCACACAAATACCCCAATAAATGACTAAAAGCTTGCCAATTGGTCCCCAAAATTAGCGGATGCCTAAGGTTCGGGTTAACTGCAACCTCCACTTTCTGCTTCTGACCCCGAAATTGGATAACTAGGAGCATTAAAGGATACCTCACCACATCCCCGTGTACGCACCGCACCCGAACCACGCAGCTCTTATCCAATTCCGCCGGCTGAATTAGGCTTTGATGGATCAAGGTCTGGTTACATCCTGAATCCACCAAAGCCCAATAAGTACCCCCCTTAATACTCACAGGTATTTGGTACATGCCAGCTTGATCGGGGGCAGCCTGCGGGGCATCTGGGACTCGGATCAGTGTCCCCACCTCCATCAATGGACACCGATCAATAAAGTGCCCTGGGTCCCCGCAACGCCAACAGGCCGGGCCAGACTTCCCCGCCGCCCTAGTGGCAGGAAGCGGATCAAGCAATTGGCCTGGAGAGAGCGGAGGAACTTGACCATACGAGGCGCTCGAGCTGGCCGGCCCCGCCCCCCTGGAGAGGGTCCTCAGTCCGGCGAACTCCGGTGCTGGACCACCCCGCCATCAGGGCTGCGCTCGAGGTGGGAGATTCACTCGGGACCTAGGGAGAGGGACAGGCTTAGAGATGTAGAGGGGGGAGAGAGAGAGAGAGAGAGAGACAGCAGGCAGGGTTTCGCCAACCCAATGGCACGCCACCATCTGGTCCTCCGCCAGTTCAATGGCCAGGTCTAGCGATGCCACTGCGCGGTGTTCTTCGGTAGCCGCGTGATGAACTGTTCCAGCACCACGCGATCGACGATCTGGTCGACATCGCTTCCCCCAGCCAACAGCCATTTGCGGCACGCATCCCGGAGCTGCTGAGCCATCACGAAGGGCCGGCCATTTTCCCCCAGCTCCAGTGATCTGAAACGCTGACGGTGTTGTTCGGGATTCAGGCCCACCCGCTGGAGGATGGCTCGTTTGAGGTCGTCGTAGACCAGGAGGTTCTGAACTGGCAACTGTTGTGCAGTCATTTGTGCCTCCCCCGAAAGCAGCGGAATGAGGCACACCGGCCAGTTCGTCCGGGGCCACCCACATGCCTCCGCGGTTCTCTCGAAGAGGTCGACAAAGGCCTCTGGATCATCCTGCGGGCCTAACTTGTTCAAAGGCATGTGGGCTGGCAGTCCGCACCAGCGTCTATCACCCACAAACAGACAGACTGGTGGAACGATTTAATCGCACTTTGAAAATGATGATTCGAAAGTTCGTTCACGAAGACGCCAAAAATTGGGATAAATGGCTGGAACCCCTTTTGTTCGCTGTGCGCGAGGTCCCGCAAGCCTCCACGGGGTTTTCCGCCTTTGAACTCCTTTACGGTCGCCAGCCCCGTGGGGTTTTGGACGTCCTGAGACAGGCTTGGGAGGAGGGAACTTCGGATAGCAAAAACGAAATTCAGCATGTGCTAGACCTGAGAACAAAATTCCACACTTTGGGGCAGCTCTCTATGGAGAATTTGTTACAGGCCCAGGACAAGCAGAGCCGGCTGTATAATCGGGGAACCAGATTACGTGATTTTGCACGGGGAGATAAAGTGCTTGTATTGCTGCCAACTTCTAGCTTTAAATTACTCGCCAAGTGGCAAGGACCCTTTGAGGTCACACGGCGAGTGGGAGATCTCAATTATGAGGTAATTCAGTCGGACAGGAGTGGGGCACGTCAAATCTACCATCTTAATCTCCTTAAAAAATGGAGCGAGGTGGAACCGGTGATGCTGGCAACGGCAGTGAGTGGAGAGGAAGATCTCGGGCCAGAGGTGAACACTAAAATTCAATCCCTCGCTCTGGCCCCAGGGGGAGATCACCTCTCGCCCTCCCAGCTCACCGATGTAGCAAAATTGCAAGCCGAGTTTGCGGACGTGGTTCAGTCTGAATTAGAGGCGATGTTAGAGATGGGAGTAGTAGAAGAATCCCACAGCGATTGGGCGAGCCCGATAGTTTTAGTACCTAAAACGGACAGCTCCGTTCGGTTCTGTGTGGATTGTCGCAAGGTGAATGCGGTGTCGAAATTCGACGCCTATCCAATGCCGCGGGTTGACGAATTGCTTGATCGGCTGGGTACAGCTCGTTTTTATTCGACACTGGACTTAAAATGACATCATCATTTACAGTCAGGATTGGCAGCGTCATATGGCACATCTGCGAGCTGTCCTGTGGAGGTCAGGTTATCTGGGCTTCCACTTGGGTCATGGACAGGTGCGTACCCAAATTAGTAAGACGGCGGCAATTGCGACTTGTCCGAGGCCCAAGACCAAAAAGGAGGTGAGGCAGTTCCTGGGGCTGGCAGGATATTATAGAAGGTTTATACCTAATTATTTGGACCTTACCAGCCCGCCGACTGACCTCACTAAAAAGGAAGTTCCAGATCCGGTCCAGTGGACAGTGCAAAATGATGAACACCTGTGTCTGATTGCAGTAATTGGCCTGGAGAGACTGGTTAAAAGGCCGACTGGAGAACATGGAGGCAGAGAGAGACGGCGACTCGTGGGCATCGCTCAGCCAGGGAGAGAAAACCTGAGGAACTGAATTTGTGCCATTGGCAGTGTGTGAATGCGCTGGAAGCGCTACTTTTTTGTTAGAGTTTTGAGTTATTAAATAAACATCCACGAGTCTCCAAACGCCAACCTTGTTCACTTCCTTCCTTCCTTACTACGAACCTTGTTACAACTCGATAATGTCAAATCGCACATCATTAAAACGACAATTATGATATTATAGCAGACAATATATATCGCACACCCCTAGTCCTGACCGATGTGCTGTAATTACCACACAGACCAGCTGTTAATCACCTGTCCGTCACGGACTACTGACTTCACTTTCTGTGGATTTTTTTTTCCTGCGACTAATAAAATTGTGATCGACTAAGTCTCTATTAGGGGCAGCCCTAATAAATTATGATTTGCACAGATATCTGTTCATCTGAGACACTGACGATACACTGAACATGAAGAGTTCAGCTACATGAAAAGATCTAACAGATTCATAATTCCTTACTCTGATGTGTTTTATCTCCATCAGATTCCCATCAGCTCACTCTGGATCTGAACACAGTGAATAAACACCTCCTTCTGTCTGAGAACAACAGAGTGATTACTAACACTGGCACAGATCAGCCATATCCTGATCATCGAGACAGATTTGATGAGTATTAGTAATCACTCTGTCATATAAGAGCATCAGCAGGAAGGGAGACGGTGATGAGTGTTTCTTTGGATCTAATGATCAATCCTGGAGTTTGTTCTGCTCTCGCTGCAGTTGCTCATTCACACACAATAACATAGAGACTGATCTCCCTGTGAAGCACATCATCAGGAGAATAGGAGTGTTTGTGGATCACAGTGCAGGAACTCTGTCCTTCTACAGCGTCTCTGACACAATGAGCCTCATCCACACAGTCCAGACCACATTCACTCAGCCGCTCTATCCTGGGTTTTGGGTTGATTATAAATCATCAGTGAAACTGTGCTGATGAATCTGAATAGACTGACGAGAGATTCTACCCATAATGCTTTGAGCTGCATGATGAATCAGTAACAGTGAGATGTTATAAGCTGTGTCCGAAACCGTTCACTCGTTCACTAATAGTGTATGGCAGTTGAGTGCACTATATCAGAAAGGAGTGAATGAAATAAGTGAACGGATTCGGACAGTGACGTATACACTTGCGTGTGAGACTTGGAGCTGTTGCATAAACATCTTCGTCACATATGTACTTTTATATTACATGTACCTTATTTTAGAAAATAATATTAATAGCAATAACACTCAAAATGACTTTATATTGTAATTATACATACCTCCGCGTCAGCTTTGAGGTTTCATCGATGGTATATTATTAATTGGTTTTGTAATGCTTTTATGTTC